GACCCCCACCTTCTGCTGCTCCACCTGTGAAGGAGCATCAATCCCAAGCCGCCGCTCCGCTCAGCGCTTCAAGACCCGCAGCCTGAGCACTTCCTCAGCCACCACCTACTCTGAGCACAGGTCAGTGATCAGGGCGTCATAGGTGCCCCTCAGGTTTTACACTGTCCCTCTGTGTTTTTATGGAGGGAAAAAACATTTCAGTTAAACAGTTGTCAACCTTTGTAGCCCTCCAAACTAAGAATTAGTTTGGGAAGTGTTGGCCTAGTGGTTAGAGGAGCGCTTGTGCTCTGATAAGGTTGCAAGTACACGGTTCCACACTCCACAGCCTGCACTTTGGGTCCCTGAGCAAGACCCTTAACCCCACACTGCTCCCCGGTGGCCACATAATGGCAACCTACTGCTCCCCAAAGGGATGGCTTAAATCCAGAGGTAAATTTCTTCAGTGAGAGATCAATAAAGTTCTATTATTATTATTAATTATTGGTAAAACAACAAAAATGCCATCATGAAATCTAAAAACAAATATTAATGACTCTCCCTACAGACTTAAAGTCAAGTTGTTTCGAATTCAGAATTCAGGAAGAACGAACATGTTTATATTTGTAGTAATAAGTGACGAAAATGAATGTAAACCAGTCAGATAAAACTATACAATTTATTATGTGATCCGATTTGGTTCATCTTTTCCATCAGTTGTCAAAGTTTAGGGAACCCTGGAAATTAAAATGCTTCTAAAATCTGTCTAAATATAAATGAGTTTTTTTTAACTTTCAGTCCTAGAAATGTTTTTCTGTTTAGACGTCGCTTAAGGTTTTGGGCTTTGGGGTAATCTTTTTTTTTATTTTTTATATATATATATATATTATGATTGATGCATTTAATCAATAGATAAATGATAACACACTTTAATAAATAAGTAAAACTGATTAATTGGTGCACTTCACTTTAAAGGGAGAAAAAGATGAAAACGGCTGTAGGATCTGATAGCTTTGCTGTAATCATGGCAACAGACATTAAAAGCAGAGAAATGAGGAAAGAAACACAGAGGGAAAAACAAAAAAAATCACCGTTGAGCAGCAGGAAGAGGAGGCCAGGAGGGAAGCCTGAGCAAGTCGTCCTGTTCCCCTCCCTATCTGCCTCTGTAATTAGATGTCAACAAGTTCATGTGAGGAGGAGGAGGAGGAGGGAAGACAGGGAAACATGAGAGCAGATGGCCAGCAGAGGGAGAGCTTTCATCACAAACAGGCCTCATGTCAGCCCTGCTGAGCACTGTAGAGATCCTCTCTGGTCACCAAGCTGCAGCACCAACAACTCAGTTAGAGCTTCTGGTTTTAGTGGGATGTTTCTGAAGAAGAAGTTGCTTCAGTTTTTGTTGCAAAAACTCAGATCCTGTGTGGCAACAGAACCTTCTCTAAAAACGGCTTCATGAAGGACGAAGCGTTTCAGGCTGGATGCGTTTGTTCCCTCGTTGATGTGGTTAGTTGTTAGCTTCTGACCCAGCGATGAGCTAACTCACAAGAGGAAGTCACTTAATAGAAATTCACATCTCCAAGATGTTGAAACAGACTCCCATTAAGGCATCATGTTTTAATTTTTTGAATCTACCCAAGTCAGTGGCGGCCGGCCCATAGGGGGCGCTGGGGCACCGCCCTCCCTGATAAGAAGAGAGAAACGTAAAATATATTTTTAGAAATTAACTCACAAATGTCAGTTTTACTCTCTAGACTGTGTACCTATAAGCAAAACAAATTATATAAACTACATTTCCCTATCTACTGTCATTAATTTGTGGATTTCCACAGACAGACTCCTACCGTCTCTGTTCTGGGGGCGTTGATCAGACTGACCCACATTTGCAGAGAATCTGTCAATCATGTACTATTGCTAGGTGAATTTAATGGCCAATCAGCGTCTCGGAACTTTATGGTATTGGGGCGCTGAAAATACTGCGCTTTAACAGGCTTCTGCACCCAAGCGCAGGTGCAGACAATTAGAGGGAAGATGGCGAATGTAACGACCGAGATGCAGCTTCCACCAAATTCGGTGAGATCCTTATTTATCTACCCGTTTGCCAGAAGAACATCCCTGTTGTATGATATGAACATTTCATGTCATGGTTATTGTGACTGTGACGAATCCACCTCGTCGCTTAAAACAACCTCTCTAACTTTGCGCGCCACACACACATTCCTGTTATACTGTGTTTGTGAGGACCAATACACTCGCGCTGAGATCAGTAGCTCTATTAACTTAAAACACACAAGCTGTTCCTGGTTACCTGCTGGCATATTGAGGGTGCACACTTAATATTTCAGTGGGGTTAGCCGTGTGTGTGTGTGTGTGCGTGGGGGGGGGGGGGGTGTACGTGTTTATGCTACGGGGACTTGTCATCTTCAGTCTGGCTGTGTCTTTGCTGGGTTCAAACCCAGTTTGGTGTAATTGCATAAGTCAATGAATCTGTGTAAAAGAATTAAGTTGTAAAAATTATTTGTTTTTGTACATCAATTGTTTGTGGAGGTAATATATGGACAAAACTGATTAATGAGAAGAAATCAGAAATAAGAGAACCTGATGTGAGGGGCTTAAACTATTTAATGAGGGCTGTGGGAAGAAAAGCGGCAATTTTTGTTTTCTGTTTCTTTGTTACATTGCTGGTAACTGGAGGGAGGCTGAGGCCCAGAGTATCTTGTATGTTTAGTTTCTTTTGCACCCTGTTTTGAGTTTTTGAGCTCAATAAATCACCAACACCGGTAACCCGACTGAGACTGGATTCTTGGAGGCCAAAGAACCCCGTCACAGTGACCCAAATCATCACTGTTACTGTTATTATATAGTAAATTAAATCATTACTGTTAAATTGTATGTATTGTCCAATTGTTTATTTGAATTCTTATTCCGGATTAGTTGGAGACATACACTAGGCTATATCAGCCCCACCAAAAATATTTTTCACCAGCCTCCACTGACCCAAGTATGTCGTAAAACATAATTTTAACAGCTTTCAGGGTCAAATATCCCCTTTCATTTTCTCAGATAAGCCTTTTATTTCTTTTTTTTTTTTGCTAAATGTGATGTAATGTTTATTCCCCTTTTTTTCTCAATGACAGTCGTTTGGAAACAAGCTGGCAGTGGCTTCACACCCGCACTGCTTTAAAGTGTCCTTCAATGCATCCCGCTTTATAACAACTGCCTTTAAAAGCTTCATATTTGTATTAAACATTAATTTATTCCAGTAATCTCAATAAAGCAGATTAGTAAATACCTGCTGCTGAAGTCTGTGAATCAGACTAAGAGGATTTGTTGGCTTTGTTGAGTGATGCGGCATGAAGGCTGCCTGACCCCCTGATACAATTAGACTGTTAAGCAGAGCCAAACAAACAGCTTTTTAAGATCATTTGTTTCCACTTAAAAAACACTTTGTTATAAACTTCAGATTAAAGAAAAGACAGGTGTGTTTTTGCTCGTTAAATATTGACTTATGTGCTGCAGCTAGACAGATAAAGGTGTTTTTTTTTTAAGGTTGTGATCAATGCATTAATGCACATTTGACTCAGGAAAGTTTATATCTGCTGCTCACCACGCAGATATAACCTTAGGGTTTATTCTTACAGAAAAAAAGGCAGGGATCTCAGTATGTCAGCTGATAATGGTTTGGAAATGTGGAAAAACTAGATGAGCATCATGCAATTTTAAAAAGAAAAGTAGAATTATGTCATAAAATGTTTCTGTTTCCTTTTTCATTCATGTTTGATGCGTTTGTTCCAGACTCCATGGATATAATTAAAATAGTAATATCTATAACTTAGCCTTGATTTTTTTAAAAAGCATAAAATGTCCTCTTTTATTTTTTTATATTCTTTATAGTTGCCTCTATTTTCCTTGTTTTTTTTAAAACGTGCATCTTTGTTTCTCTTCCCAGGAGGACTCAGTCTCTTCATGGACCAAGCCCGGTCACCACATTTGGGCCGAAGGCATGCATGCTCCAGAACCCTCATGCTGTGATGTAAGTTGAAAAAAAACTTTTTTTCATTTTTGTGTTTCCTCTTCCTTATAACCTAGCTAAATATTGTATAATCACTGTGATGCAAGCAGCTAACAACATGGCGTCTGATTCCATAAAGCTTCCATCTAAACATGAATAACTGGCTGGGAGTAAAAATGACTCTTAATCACTCATGAAATGACAAACTCTGATACAGCTTTAGTTTCACCATTTCACACCATATTATTTTAAAGGTATTCCTCCCTGGAAAGCATGTGTTAGCTAGCAGCAGATTAACAATCAACACCTCTAAGACCTCGCAGTTTCTGCACAACTTCCTCTTCGGTTTACAGCAATGCATAGTGATAATATTTAATGGCTTATTGGTGTGGTTTATGATTCGGTTTGGGTGTAAGCAGAACCAAAGCAAATTATTAGTTTATTTATAGGAGTCTGAGAATGCTCCCTGCAGCCGGATACTCCCAGATTTACACATTTGGCAGCTGTGTAGGTTACTACATGCATCATGGTGCTCATTCTTAGTCATTTTTCTTCAAAGCAAAAGTATTTCTACCTTAACTTCTTCAAAAGGCTTGTACACTTTTTTTAAACGTAGATATATTTGTTTCTAAGGAGGTAAAGATATATTAATATTTCAGATACTACACAATGTTTCACATACATTTCTTTTTGCTCTACAATGAAAAATATTTCATATTAATTAGTTAATGTGGGAGTAATATGGTTAATTTTTGAGCTGATGTTATGCAGGATTGCAGTGGTGTCAAAAGATGAGTTGACAGCGGATGAAGTGATGAGCTTTTTAGTCATAAAATCCTGGAAAAAGGACCTTATTCCAATGAAAGGCTCACCAATAAATGTTATGAGATCAACTTTTGTTTTTACAATAAGGAAGTTTTTCATCTTCTGTTTTTTTTAAAGTGTCTTTTTTTTCATCTATTTTTAAAATATTAGGCCTGACACTGCGCTTCAAGGTATTAATATGTGCTAATTACTTAGCTATGCATTCCTCTTCTGTACCTATTTGTTTTCCTTTAGAAAGACATCCTAATTACAACAAAACATTTTATCTTGAGTACAAAGCAGACGCCTGAATAAATCCTGTCTCACATTAATAAAAACAATCAGCAGTAGTTCTAAGTTCGCATTTAAACTTCTTACTTTAATTTAAACAATTACTTTTTAATGTTGTAAAAGGACGGATTCATTTAACTTGTTTTCATTTCTGGGTTCACAGCAGGAACTCTCAGGGCAGCGATCTGTTAATAAACCACCAGAAAGAGATATGTAAGAAAAGCACAAATAAAGAGACGATTGTTTTCCTTCTTTTCCAAGAATTGAGCCACTTTAATTTGATCCCAAAAAGTGACATTTATGTAAGTCTATTTCTGGATATTTAGTTTAAGAGCAGTGAAATTCATCAGTCACACAATTCGGTGCTTTATTTCTGCTAAATAAACCCATTTTCTAGAAGCTGCTAACCTCATGATTCCTCCACTGAAGTGTCTCCACATCCTCTTGTTTAAGTTGTGAAGTAAAGCTTAACCTTAAAAGGTGAAAAAAAAAGAAGAAAATGAATAGATTTCCCAACTAAAGGCCATGCATATGTATTTGCAAAGTGATTAATGCTAATAATTCTTTGGCATGTTTGTTTTTTAAGGTTGTTTCTCTGAATGCACAATGGCAGGCGTGGTGTTCTCTGCACTTAGCTTGGTATGACAGGAGCTAATCTGCTGTATAATGAAGTATCTATTTTAATAAAGATCAAACTTTCCTGGAACCACATCCATCAAGTTTGATGTTGTCAATTCAGCCTATAGGATTAGTTAAGAAGTTGAACAGGTGGATTTTCAGCATATCTCAGATTGTCGCTGGTTTAAGCTCCTGTCATGGAACAGGTACAATAGGTACTGTTTGGTGCGATCTGTCACTAGACAAAATAAAAAAAAATTTTCAATCTGAGGTTATGAATCCTAACGTGTTGCAAAGTGTGCATGCAGCTTTTGATTTGCAGATAACAGCACTTCTACCTGTACGTTAGCATTTTTAACTTTTCAATCGTCCTCATGTCGCCTCTTAAAGCTGGAAGCACGGTCTAAAGGAGGTCAGAGCCAAAACAAAAAAGCAGGTCATTGTCACATAACTAAACTGGCGATGGAGAATAAAAGAATCTCAGGAATTTCATGCGCCGGGTTTCAGTTGTTCAGGTGTTTGCTCTTGAATCTTCATGCTGCATCTCTATCTGCAAAATAATACGGGTTGATGATGCAGCCGGAGAGCGATCAAACACTCTAACCTTTGGGTAATTCTTGCTAGAACAGTTTCTCTAGCAGCTGAAAGGTTGTTTTGCTTTTGAATTGTAGACCTACAGCTGCTCATTTTAGCTCATTCTGAACTGTTTTTAGGTAAGATATAGAAATGGCATTGAAAAAATATATTTTTGCTGTTGCTAGAGATGATTAAGTATTTGATGAGGATGCTCTAAACTACCTGTGATATTGTTAAAGGTGCTGCAGTTAGCCTATTAGCATCATAGCTATTTTAAATGTGTGTTTTGATGAATTCCCTGCAAAGTTCATGTTCTTATCTAAAGCCTGGACTTTTTAAAAAAGGCTGCCAGCATGACTGAACTCATCATCCTCCACTAAATAGAGGACCACAGGAAAATAAGAGCAACATGATGGTAAAACATTCAGGTTTCTTAGCAGTAAAAAGTCTCTCTTGCTCAGTCGCAGTCTGCAGAAATGCCCTGAAATGTAATTAGATGTTTTTCTAAATATTTAAGCAGCTACCTTTGGGTCTCACTCAATGACAGTTTGCACGCCAAAGAGCGTTGCTTGCCCTGTATTATAGAGTCTAGATCTGCAATCTACTCAGAGTGTAGTGACAGAACCAAAGCAACCATTAGATGGGTCTATGGTGCCTTATATTAATCAAAATGTTTTGTTTCTTTTTGCTGACCTTTACTCTCAGTCGTCATCCTGCTGTACCCAAACAACAGAGAACAGTGGTCGGTCTGTTGGTGCGTCTTTAGCTGAGACTGATTTTGTTTGCTACCTTTACTCTATTTCAGACGTGGACTTCCATCAACCTTGTAAATCTTACTTGTTTTTATTACACAATGCAAATTGCGACCTAATTCTGACATGCAGTGTTGTTTTTGCATCACCCTGACTCATTATCCTCCCAAACCAGTTTGTTCAGATCTTCTAATTGTTGGCTTTTTGTTTGAAGGCCTGTCCTTGTTTCGGGGCCTAAGCCCTGGACTAATTGTTGACCTACTGATGCGGTCCATCACGTAAGTGTGTCTGTCTGTTACCTGCTCGCTCTGTTTGGACGGATTAGCTTCCTCAAAGCTGCTGGACGGGTTAAAAGTAGTAAAACCAGGCTATCTTCGTCACAAACAATGGCTGTGTGGAAGCAGTATTAGGAAAGACCAGTCTGGGACGACTCATTGGAAAAGGTGATTAGGCTTGGAAGACAAAAGTGAAGCGTTTTTAGTGAAGACTTTGACTTAGAAGAGCGTCAAAGCTGGGTGAGGCTGTGCTGCAGGCCGAGGAAGACGATAACAGCTCTGGCTCCTTATTGGTGGAGTCAGCCTCCTTATTTGGGAGCCTTTTGTTTCTCATACAGATCAAACCAATGTCCACCTTTTTTCTATCAATGCTCATATTTCATTACAGCTGAAACTGAACCACATTTATTGCATTTATAAAGTTTAGTCAGATAAGATGCTCTGAGTGCAGATGATTAGTGTGATAGTTGTATAAGAGGTCACCTCAGTTCTATTAGATCTGTTTATGTAGCAGGAAATCCAGTCAATCGCTCGTCTAAGGCCACTTTATATAAAAAGAAAAGGTCTTTATTTGATAAAGTTTAACCAAAAACAAGAAACCTTTTCATTTACGTGATGGAAACCATGAAAGAAGAGAAATGAAGTCGATTCTGATCGAAGCTTTTAGACTCTTTATTAAGTTGTTTCACATGAGATTGTCAAAATAATAAAACTTAAAACACTGTATCTGGATACATAATTTGATACTAAAGACAAAAATTGTTTGTATATATTTGTTATTGTTAGATTAATACATTTAAAGAATAATACCTTTAAAAAAATACTTAAAATGTTGTTATATTCTAGTTTTTACTTTGCATTTATTTGCAGAGATGCTTAATTAGCATCTGTATGGAGCCCCTAAAGGGACATGGAGGGGAAAAAAAGAACTTTTGCGAGATCCCGCAATAATTTTTCGAGATCCCCCAATAATTTTGCGAGATCCCCCAATAATTTTGCGAGATCCCCAATACTTTTGCGAGATCTGGCAAAAGTATTGAGGGATCTCGCAAAATTTATTTTTTGCAAGATCTCACAAAAGTTTTGCGGGATCTCTCAAAAGTTAATTTTTTCCCTCCATGTCCCTTTAGGGGCACCGTACATCTGTGATTCTGTTGATGTAGCAGGAAATCCAGTCAATCAGTCGTCTAAGGCCACTTTATGTAAAAAGAAAAGGTTTTTAGTTAATAAATTTTAACCACAAACAAGAAACCTTTTTCTTTCGTGGAAAAATGGGGGAAAAAAGTAGAATATTTTTATGCCTTTACCTATGTGGCATCGACTATTGAATATCTTCCTGGGTAGAAAAAAAAAATAATTGAGTCTGAAATTTTAATGTCCTGACAGCCCTAATTCTAAATTATAAAAGCAATATAATCTGAATTCAGTTTCATAGACAAATGTTGCATCTAGATGAAACAAAATCCTTTATTCCTAAAGACAAAAGCCTCTAGAAAAGTTAAACTCTAATTAGCTGGAAGGTTGGAAGATTCATCCGTCTAAAAGAAGAGAGGAACAGGTGCATGTTGCTCATGCTGAAGCTATGCTAATTACTGCATGCTGTCATGTTAAAGTTGACCAATCACATCAAGGATTTTGCAAGACTTTATAAAAAAAAAAAAGAAAAATATTTAAACCTTATTTTTGCTTATTTTCAGACAATAGATCAGCAAAAATGTTGAGATGGATCCATTCAGCTGTTAACATGTGATCTGAACTTTGATCTGCTTCCTGTGATGCAAAGAGCCTTGAACTGGAAGACACAACAGGTCCCCAAAGACTCCTTTCACATCAGTACACTCCATTTATCTCCTTTGTTGCGACTAAATTTGGAACGCTGTTCATGATACATCTACTGTGTTGTGCACACGCCTGTCCAGAAGTGCTGGTTTGTGCGTGTTGACGCAGGAAAAAGTGAAAAGGTAGCATTCCATTAGTAGTTCATGTCGTACCCTTCAGAAGCCCCGCCCCTTTTTTCAGTCACACGCCTTCAGAATCCATACATGAGACACTCGAGGTATTTCACATCTCGCACCCACATCCATCAGTATCTGTACTTTTGATGACAGACAGAAGAAAGGAAACTTGATTTAGAGATAAAAACCTGTGCATCCGTGACGAGCGTCCACGTTCAGCCCCTTTACTCTGACACCCAAAAGTAATAAACCATTTCTTTTAGAGGAAACTTGATTTTTTTTTTTCTCGGTTTAAAATGAGAGAGCAGAGTTTAGCCCATCATTTAAAACTAAAGAAGCCGCTGCAGGCCTTCTGAGATCTGGCCGTTTATTAGATCAGACAAGCAGCAGAGAAGCCAGTGGTTCCTTTGGAGGAGCTGAACAGCTCCAAAACTCAGGAAGGAGGACCTAAAGTCAATTAGAAATCTACAAGCAGCTCCAAATCAACGCCCAGAATACCCCGCTGTCAACAATAGTGTTGGCAGCATCATGCTGTGGGATCGGTTCACCACACGTGCGGCTTTAATTGCAGCACATGGTGCTTCGAAACATTAAAAGTGGTTCACCTCAATTTGAGCCGCCGCTCTGTGTCGGTTTGTTCACGTCAGCTAAAACGCGAAGGAATGTTTGGCTCTGTTTTTGGAACGGGACAAAATGTGAAAAGATCAGTTTGTTATGAATATTTGTGAGAGGCGGTGGATTTAAGGGCGACTTTCTTCCAAATAAGGCATCCACCTGTCGTCCTAGATCATCCTCGTTAGGACATATTTGAACTGCTGATGAAATGCAGCTGGTCATGCTGTGGGCCAGATGCCTAGAAGAACAAACCTTCCCCGTCTAAACCTCTAAACCCTCAGGTTCCCTGTTTTTTAGCTGTGTAGGAAACTCTTTAGACTCTGCTGAGAAAGTGCAAAGGTTCTTTCCTGCAAAAGTCCGTTTTTAAAGTGAGTGTCCGAATAGGAAATAGTAATTTTTCTCATGCGTGAAGTGGAATTTGCTTTGCAGGTTTGCAATTAATCTTCCTCCTCATTTATTGCTTCATTTAAATATAAATTTCACTTCCCTTACCGTAAGAGGACATTAGGAAAATGGCACGTGTCTTGTTTTTTTCCCATAAAACCCACTGCATTGTTGTTGACAACGATGGGTTTCATTGTTTCCCTTTTTTTTACCTGGTCAAGACACCGAATGATGTCATTAAGTTGAAAATAGTTTGGTGTTGAAGTAAATGTTACCTGTGGTAATTGCAGCTGAGGTCGTGCTGTTTAGTGAGTCACACCTGTCCTGCAAGGAAAGTCCTCTGCTTTGGTGGGCGGGGTCAGCTCAGCGGTGTGGGCGGGGCTTAAGGTGCTGTGAGGCCTTTAAAGAGGAGAGAGCTTTACCTCAGCAGCAGAACGCAGAGAGGTTTTAGTGTTAAGACCCGTCTGGAGCAATTACAGCCACAGCAGCTCTTAGTGTTTTTCAGCTGATCCTCGTAGGAGTGGGGGAGGCTGACCACAGCTCACAGACAGCCGCTGACTGACTTCATAGTTTTCTTTCTGTTTGTTTTGCTGCTTCAAAATGTGTATCATTCGAGGTAGTTGCTAGGGGTGGGATGCACCGTTCTGATAGAGCCAAGCATCAGGACAGAGCCGGGATTTCCTTCTGAGCCCACCTTTTGTTAGACACCTACAGACATGAAGTTTAACCAGTGTGTCACCGAGGAGACGCAGGGGAGCCACGGCGAGAACAAAGTCTGGAAATGGTGAGAGAAATTCTGTCTCCTTTATAAAAAAAAAAAAGAGGCTGGTCGAAGTTTCCGATGTAACCGAGCCGATTTAATATCAACCCCAGACTGAGAGCAGCTGTCAATTATTTTCTATAATATTTAAAAGGAAACTGATTCCTAGAAGTCATACTGTAAAGCTGCAGACATGACTGCAGGTGGATGTATTCAGCAGCAGGGTGTGTTTGCGTTGGACAGCCAGGTGGCTGGGTGAAGGGGGGAGGGCATCTGAGGAGGAACTGTTGGTAAATTTACAGGAAATCTCCTCTGAAATGTCCGACATTTTTTTACTGAAAGAAAGAAGAACTGTAAATATCTGTATGACTCTTCCAGTTAAGTTGGGAGTGAACAAACATTTAGAGCACAAAGGAAGATGGTGAAATATGACGGTTAATGTTTGCTTCTTATCTTTACAGCTGGCTTAATGTTTCAGTTTCTTTATTATAATAAGCAAAGACCTGCTTGTATTTCTGGTTTTCAGATCCAGAGTCGCGGTTCACTGATCATCCGACATTTACACCGAAATTAAAACAATGTTCAGCAGACTGACCAGGTTTCTATAAAGCAGCAACTGTTAGTTCTACCAGTTTGTTCATTTAACCCAAACGAGAGCTTAAACTCCTGAGAAATTCAATTCTTTAAAGAAATATCCTCTTCATACGACTGTTTTTATATTATTAATAAATTAGAGAAAGGACGGGCTTTAGAAACAGATTTGCTTTAATAAAACTTTTTCTTTTTTGCTTTTTTTGCACTGAATATTTTCCAAATCAAACCGTCCTTGTTGTAAACGAGGTTAATATGATTTTACCGTCAGCCAGCTAAAAGGCAGTGCACAGCAAATAATGGGGGAGGGGAAGCCCAATTAAAGGCCTTTGGATTATAGATTGTTTACTTTTCAAAGAGCAGTAATAATTCTGTTCTTGTTTTTTGCAAGCTCATGCAGCTCGCTCAGTTTTACTCTGATGTAATTTTTTAAAGCTCAGCATGAAGAATCACAGATGATAGAAATCGTCATCGTTGCATAAGAAACACAGATGAGCTTTTATGTTAGAGATACAGAGTCCTGCACTGTCTGCCGTCTGTAACTAATGCTGCCAACCAGCGGAACCAGAGGCCGCCGGCAGAATTTGAACTACTTTCAGACGACAGCAATTAGTTCAACCGATTTTATGTAATAGTTTTTTGAAAGATTGAACCTTTTGCACCTGATTTTTCTTTCTTTTCTTCCTATCAACAAAATTTTATTAGAAATTCTTTCCTAGTTTTATTTTAGAGATGTGGAAATCCTCGCCTCGTCTTTTAGGATAGAGAGGAGGAGAAATCTGATGTCTCTAATTGGAGAGATGCCGATCAGCCCAGGCTGTGATGAACGGCTTGATTTATCGTTCCTAATCTGTTCCAGCCTCCTAACATTTATTTTCTTCCCTTCAGGCATATTCAGGATCCCGCCAGCCAGAGACTGACGTGGAACAAGCCTCCAAAAAGTGTCCTTGTTATCAAGAAGATCCGAGATGCCAGCCTGCTGCAGCCCTTCAAGGAGCTCTGCACCTTCCTCACTGAGGTACGCTCACTTCCTCACAGAAGTCCTCGTCATGCAGCGCACCCCTCGTTTTCCTGTGCATCATACGTCCGGTTGTTTGTTGTTGAAGGTAAAGAACCTGATTGTTTACGTGGAGAAGAAGGTTCTGGATGATCCAGCCATTTCAGGCGACGAAGTCTTCGCCGCAATCTCTAAGAAATTTTGCACTTTCAGAGAAGGTAACGGTTCAGCTCTCTTTGCTGCATCATCGGACCTGTTGGTCCTGTAGATTTGAGTATTAAACGATGTTTTTGTTTTCCAGATCTGGATGATATTTCCAATCGTGTGGACTTCATCATCTGCCTCGGAGGAGATGGAACCTTGCTATATGCATCTTCGCTCTTCCAGGTATTAACCTCAGGACGTACAGCTGAAACAGTTTTAAATTCTCCTGTTGATACACGACCTCCTGATGCGCTTTGTTTCCCTCGTAGGAGAGCGTCCCCCCCGTCATGGCCTTCCATCTGGGCTCTCTGGGCTTTCTGACGCCTTTCAAGTTCGACACCTATCAGTCTCAGCTCACCCAGATCATCGAAGGTATTGACCTTCCCCTGACCTGCCCGTCAGCTGGCGGCGCCGCATTCTTTGACTGTCAAGCGTGCCCGTCATGCATCATGCATTAATGCTTATCTATGCCGGCAGGGAACGCTGCCATCGTCCTGAGAAGTCGCCTGCAGGTACGGGTGCTCAAAGAGAACTGGGAAAAGAAGGACAGCGTGGATGAGAAGGGCATCATCCTGACCAACAAAGACGTGGAGAGCAACCGCAAGGCTGTGCAGTATCAGGTACGTTAGTCGCTGTGCTCCGGTGGCTTTATTTTCCCTCTGCGCTGTAATCAGGCCTGATTAGTTTCATCATCACCACTGAACCCTTCCTTTGGTTGGTGAGCGAGCTCTGACCTCACTAAGTAGACAGCCTGGGCCCATATTTTAGGCTTAAACTGTGTCGTGGTTTAAGATCGGGAGGTGACATCATGTCAGCCCCGACCATGGAGAGGATTTTTCCAGAGGTGACTCCTCCTTTCTCTGTTTCAGGTTCTCAATGAGGTGGTGGTGGACAGAGGACCGTCCTCCTATCTGTCCAACGTGGACCTCTTCTTGGACGGACACCTCATCACCACGGTGCAGGGAGACGGTGAGTCCTCACATCCTCTTTGCATCCATTCATTCATCCGTTTTCTCTGCAACGCTTCATGTCTCTTTATATCTGCGGACCACAGGTTTGATCGTTTCCACGCCGACGGGCAGCACGGCGTATGCCGTGGCAGCCGGAGCCTCCATGATCCACCCCAACGTCCCCGCCATCATGATCACCCCCATCTGCCCCCACTCGCTCTCCTTCAGACCCATCGTGGTGCCGGCCGGAGTGGAGCTCAAGGTACCGGCTCAGCAGCGCCTCCTTCTGTCAGCTGGAGAGATTATTGTTTTTAAATTTAAAAAAGAGACAAGAGGAAGTTTTTTTTTTCTACTGGGGGGAGGGGGGTAGGGCTGCGTTTTGTAAGACAGGGAAAAAAAAAAAAAGACCTAAACTCAAATTTCGCTTTTGTTGTTACACTGCAGGAAGTTTTCTATTGTGAAAGAAGGAAAAAAAAAAAAGGGAATGAAAACAAAGAGAAACTTTACATTAGCTAGAAATGGAACCGAACAGCAGTGCAACAAAACAATTGATTCCCCCCCCACTTTTATTCATATTTCAGCTTCTTTAGCTTTTTATATCTGATGCACAAATACAGGTTAGTGCATCATTAAGGTGAATAAAGGATGATAAGCATTTATACATTATTTATAAAAAATAATAATCAGCATTTTTATCCAGCCCTTGATAAAATCACCTGCTGCCAGCTGCTTTAGAAATTGTCATGTTTAAAGGCACAACTGCAGCCCTGCAAAGACCAGAAAGCTTTAGAAAGAAAAAAGCCAAATGGTTCATTTATCTGAGCTTTAGAGATCCACAACCCAGGTTCTAAAATCGCAAACAGTGGAGTGAAACTCCAGAGCTGACCTTTGTGAAAGAATGGCTTAAAAAACGCATCGAAAATCCTGTTAGCAGTTTGCTAAACAGTCGGGTGGTAGAAGCAGCTCTGGTCTGCTGACACTAAAACGAAGCCGATTCCATTTAGTGATGGAAAACGATCCCTGAACGTATCAACTCCTCAGTGATGCACGGTGGTGGCAGCGTCATGCTTTAAGATGCTTTAATTCCAAACACAGGGAAACAGATGGCTGTTGACGGGACTAAAGGTGATAATATTTTAGCGAGGA